TTTTTTCCGGCCAGTCTGGGCACGTAGGCCCGGGCCAATTGCAAGGAAGATGAGCAATAGCGAACTTCAGCAATCAAACAGCATCATACACATGAGACCAGATAGTTATGACCTCGAACCAATAGCAGAGTTGCATCACGAGTTTCACCAAATAAGAGCACACCAAAAGCTCAGAATTGACAATGCTGCAATAGTCTCATCATCATCAACGAAGAACCAATGTTGATATCCTATCTGGCGCTCGGCGCCCAGACTACGAATGGCAGATCCTATCTAGCCTAGACTACAATGCCGCTGATGACGTCAACAGCTTCCGAAGTACGAGCAGATCTCGGTCAATGCCGCACGTGTCAATCACCAGGTATGTCTCTCATGTCACTCACAACCTCGTTCCCCAACTCACAGAGGCCACTTGCACCCAAGGACCACCATGTGCCCCATCCAGCATACAGCAGCGCAGCTCGGCTATGGCTGCCTGCTCCTTCCAGCTCGCCCGTGAGCGCGTGAGCCTGGCCAACGTTAGCGCAGCATGCACCCAGTGCCCGAATGTCCAATGCGTAGGCAGGCCCTTCTCTATATCGAAGTGGCCTTCTGCTGCGTGCGGTAATGTGGTACTGGACCCTGGCCCAGAAGCTTCCGGTAGGCCCCACGAGGCTGAGCCTCAGTCCGTGCCCTCAGCCTTTGTTCGGTCCACTTTGTGTATCCGGCCCAGGGCCTGCCTCAGTTACATGTAATGAAAGGCAGCCTGGGCCTGGGCGCTTCCAACCAACTGGCGCTGCGCAACCGCCTGAATTTCCCCAGTTGCGTGGTGACCCCAAAATGGCCTGTAGGCCTCGGTCGTGCCTGCCTTCACTTAGGGCGGCCGACTGTGTGAAAAATAGGCCCTGTAGGGGATATCGAGGCCCTGTGCCTCGCACAATCTTGTAGCCTAGGTACCTACAAAACGAAGGGATGCGTTTGTTTCTGTTGGCAGAACAAATGGATTTGTTGCACATGCTGTTGGTAGTTCTAAGTTCTTGGATGATTATAAGTTAGTGGTTAAGCATGGGTTTGCAATTTGTTGGTAGTTCTAAGTTCTTGGATGATTATAGGTTAGTGGTTAAGCATGGGTTTGCAATTTGTTCATAACTTCACATGAAAGGGAAAAAAAAAAAAGAAAACAGCACGACAATCTTCTGAGCAAGTGACTGTCATGCCTATATTCATGGCACGAGCATCTGCGAGGATCAGGCTCCTCGGCAGGCCTAAGGGGCCCTTCAGATGTGCCCGCACTACATGAAGGCGGGCCTGGCAGAGTGCAAATACTTTGTTCGGCCTTCCAGGCCTTTCTGGAAATGCAGGCCCTGGGCCACAAACTTCCAGGCACAGGCCCAGGGCTGGTGCCGGAGCGTAGGCTCGCGTGCTGCTGGGCGCTAAGGGCAAGGTGCTGTGCGCGTGCGGTCGTGCGAGAAGAAAGGTGCTGCCCTCAGCAGCGCCATAGCCCAGCCTCCGTAGCTGGCTGGGCCTTGGACTATGTTACATCTTCGATTCACACGGGTCCTACCGGACCCGACTTAGGGCCGGAGGAACACACCAGGGCCTAAAGGCCCGACCTTTGGACTACAGGCCCTAAAGGCCTGATTTTTTAACTCAGCCCAGCGGGTAGGCCCAAACGACACTTTGTTTGGGCCTGGCGGCGCTCTTGAAGCTGCCACCCGCCGATTGAGGCTGAACCGTCCATCTGGACGGTCCAGGGTTTGGCCTGGCCTCGCAGCATTGAGGCCAGACCATGGCCTACCGGTATAAGTACCGGTACCTGCCTCAATAGAGGCATCGACCTACCGGCATTGTACCGGTACGGTATGGTCAGCGCCAGAGCGCTGTTTTGATGCGCTAAACTTAGCGCAGGGGCTGGAGCAGGAGCGCAGCATCGCGCAGCATAGCGCAGCTGCGTGCGGAGCAGCAGCGGGCGACTGAGTTACACGGCGGTTCTCACCGCCTGAGGTACCGGGAGCTTGGAGGATCTCTCCTCCTCTCCCTCGCCAGTCCCCTCTCTCTCTCTCTCCTCCTCTTCTTCTTCTTCTTCTTCTTCTTCTTCTTCTTCTTCTTCTTCCTCTTCTTCTTCAGATTGGAGACTATCCAGTTGGACAGAGATCAGGGTTGGACTTCGGTGATACGAGACTGTGGTACTTACCTGATTGGAGACTTGGAGACTGTTGAGGTTGATACTCGGCTGCATCACAGTTGGACACCGGTTACATCTGGACTCGGTTATCTCCGACATTGGTGACCTTTGGTCCTCGACATTTTGAKCTTGTTATATGACATTCTGGACTACTATTTYGGAGACCTACCGGACTCTTATCTTGTGACCTATCGGTGTGATCTACCTCCTACCTCCTTCGTCTCTCCTCCCACCTTTCATCTGTGCAGGTGTGTACGGGATCTGGGTATCGTCTATGCATGACCCAGACCCCACCATCTCATGATTGTATGTGTGTGGAGCGATGCCATGTAGGTCAGTCTATGTGAGTCAGTTCGTTATCAGACTTCCGCTGCATAAATGCTCATCCTATATTGGTTGATCTTTGGTTCTGCCCATACTCATTGAAGTATGTAACAACTACAGTGAGGCGCAGGGGTGGTCTTCGGGTGTACAGAGGGAAGACGTGGGTGAAAGTCCAGGGAGAGAGAAGGATGATGATGATGATGATGACGATGTGAGGGCACATTCCTGGTATTGGCGATGGTCTGCACTGGCCGACATCTTCAAGTACTTCGTTGGCTGCTGACGTCAACAGTTGCATTGTCAATTAATAGGCAGATAGTAGCTATGTAGGGAGTAGGCTGGGCGCCGAGCGCCAAGGAGGGAGAAGGGCCTAGGCACTTATGTTGGTGGTGGTGAGAGAAAGCTCTCATTGACATTCGGTTTTCAGTGTTATGATTCTCCATTGGTGTTATATTGGTGCAATGCTGCTTTCTGGTCACTGTGATACTTTCTGGCTTTCAATGTGATTGTGCAATCTGGATATTGTCATCTCGCTATTGCTCATTTCCTTGCACATCAGGAATTCAAGCAATAATTACTAACTACTAATTACTAATTAGTTAGTAATTAGTAGTTAGTAATTTCTAATTACTAATTAGTTATTGCTTATTCTTGGGCACCAGCTTCTCACTTGTAACACTTCTTGGGTTGTTCTGAATGGACTATGAAGACTTCGAAGTGATAAAATTTCAGCTGGAAAAGAATGAAGTTTCATGCACTATTATTTATGCCAATGATCTTGATAATGCAGGTGATCCTGAGAGCGTCTACTACAAGCGAGTTCTTGAATTACAGCGGTTGCGATCCATGTATGTAGATTTCTGTGCATTCTCCCTATCACTCTGTGTGGACATTACTTCCATGTGTGTTACTTGTGTTTGTTCTTTGTTTTTTTTTTCTTAATCTATAACTTCGAAAAGGAGTAAGAGTCCTGGTGGCACACCCTGTTACGAGGTTGTAACATGTAGGGACGGAGAAGTGGGTGTGTGGACATGACTTCCATGTGTGTTACTTTTTGTTTTTTGTTTTTTGACATTACTTCCATGTGTGTTACTTGTGTTTTTTTTTTTTTTTTTTTTTTCCTCAATCTACAGACTTCAAAAAGTAGTAAGAGTCCTGGTGGCACACCCTGTTATGGGGTTGCAACATGTAGGGACGGAGAAGTGGTGAGAAAAACAGGTTGCGCCCAGAGCACGGACCGCTTGGTGAAAGAATCCCTGGTGGGCCTGAGTTGTATTCGAGTCAAGAGCAAGGGGCTGTTCAAGTGGACGGGGAGGGGCTGCTTGAACACAGGTACATCTTTATGAAGCATGCTCAATCGAGCAATGCACGGGGAGCCAAGCAATGAAATGGACTTGACTGGACAATGCAGTGTCAGCAAAGCATCCAAGCAATGAAATGGACTTGACTGGACAATGCAGTGTCAGCAATGCATCAACAGCAGTGTACATCCAGATGCATACAAAGATGGCACAAAGTAGCGCAACAGAAGACTTAAAGATAGGACCTGACCTGTCAGGTACCGACGCGACATCCGATCATACATTAATCATGTGAGAGAGGGAGGAGGGACTGCACACATAGACGAAGGTCCCTCCTTGCACACACACATGGGGGAGATACCACGGATGAGGGATAGGGGAAGAGGCGAGACGAAGATGGAGGCGAGGGAGAAGACAAGACCGTGATAGCGAAGTCCAAAATAGTCTCCCCGTCGAAAGTCCAATCAATGTCTGCCACAAAAATGTCGGATCAGATCCCGGACATCATGCCCGAAGTGACCTCTGCCAGTAACCTCTCTCTCTCTCACTCTCTGAAAGAATGAGAAGAAGAAGAAGAGGTGGAGGGCGAGAACAGATAGAAGAAGAAGAAGAAGATGATGTCATCCTCCTCACTGTCTCATCTGCAGGGAACTGCTGCCAAGTACTGACGTCGCGGGCGTACGCTGTGCTGCAGGTCGCTGTAGCCAAGTTCAGCTATGGCACCCAGGTACGTACTCGAACGCTGCAGGTATGGCCTCTGTCCTGTCTCCCTACCTAGTCCTCTACCTCTAGGTCCTAACGCAGCAGTGCCGCGTGCTGCTCCAGCAGCGTGTTGCCCAAGAAGTGAGCTACTCGCCCTGTGTCCCATGCCCAGCCGCTGCCCAGCTAAAGTAGCGCTGGGCCTGGCTGGGCGCGCCTGATGCTGGCCTCAAACGGCCCACTCGACCAGCCCATGATGCTGTTGCAAGAACACGGTTGGCCTAAAAATGGCCTCGCTCCTGTGTACCCAGCCCAAGGCGGAGCCTTGGGGCTTGCAAGTCCGAAACGTCCTCTGCGCAGACAAAAATAGGACAACAATAAATAAGTAAATAAATAAATAAATGATGCCTGTAGTCGAAACCTGCGGCCTGGGGGGCGCCGTGGGCCTCCAGGGCGCGTGTCTGATGGGCACGCGGCCCGGGGGCCCCTAAGCAACCGTCCGGCCTCTGAAATGGGGCCCGTGTGCAGGCTCAGCATGTAACATTTAGCTCATGTGGGAAGTTGTAAAATGCCAGCCTGTTAGGAGTTTGCAAACCTCAACTTCTTTCCATGTGCAACACGTGAACGAACTGAAGTGAATACCAATCTTGGAGATAGAAATTGAAGAGAATGTTTGCAACAAGCTCATATTGCTCAATCACACCAGTACACTTGATGAAAATAAAGAAAATGATGTCCACTTGAGGGCCAGGCTGCACCGAGCAGTCTGCAACAAACGACACTCAAAACCGTGCAGTAAGGAGACAGAACACACTGCCTATGGCTGCACCCAAACGCTCTCCTTCAGCTGCCAAGATTGGCGCTGCTGCTGCTCCTTTTCACTTCACCAAAATCACAAACTGAAAAATGAATGAACTGTAGTCCTAGCTCGTCACGTTTTTTGCTATGCCAATTTTGCCAGGGCATACAGGGTCCTACTGGGCTCTGGCCGCGAGAAGTTTAGAGGTGTAGGTCCTATAGGGTCCTATGTGTCCAAGATCAGCTAACAATATGCTTACTTGGAGGTCCCAGGTTTGAATCTGGCTGGCAGCAAACTTGAAAAACAAAATAAACGCAACTCGTTTTTTTTTTCACTCTTGGGCGAGGTCTCGAGTTCACATCTCTCCGCCTCAGTTTGAAGTCCCCCGAGAACTTATTAACAAGTTTGTAAACTGAGATTGAATTCTATGAATAATACAAACGTCTAGTATACAAAATATACAGTAACTTGGGCTGCAGTCATCCTCTTCTTCTCCTTTGCTGTTGGAGGGTTCTCTAATAATCTGCTTACAATTCGAGGTGTTGTCTCCATTTGAGTACTTTTGTCCACCCACTCATCTTCTTCCTCTTTTGGGTAATATTGGAACTTGACTCTATAAATCTTGCTCGGTCTCCCTCTTGGTCTCCCTCCTGGTCTCCGTACATATCAGTAATAAACAATCTTCTCGACATCTGCCCTTCCATCCATGGTGGGTGGATGCGTACTTCGTCTACCCTTGAGCTTGGATGGCGTGTACGGCATCAATTTGGAAGCATCGAAAACAGGGTAAGTTCTCAGGTGGGGTGGCACATCAATCAGGCTATGCTGTTGTCCCCTATCACCTTCAATATCGCCCAAGGCCCACACCTCTTCAGCATAAGGTTATTGGATAGTCCTTCCTCTGGTGCAAACTCATCCATGCTGACCCAGGCGAGATCTCCCTCTTTGCATAGGGAAGGCCTGTGGCTTCGATTGGGTTCAGCAACCATGTGTTCATGCACCTTCTGCATATCCTTGATGGCATGTTGTAGTTCATCAGCGACCTGCTTGGTGAACTCTGTTGTTGTTCCAGGAGGATATTTCTGCTGCCGGTCTGGAACTAGGAAATCAACTGGTGTACACGGCTTCCATCCAAAGTGATGAGCATTAGGTATTGTCGTGGTGGATAGGTATACTGAGGAGTTGTAAACATTCTCCACCTCAGCTAGTTTTCAATCCCATTCAATCTGATTACGCCTTATTAGGTGATGCAGCACCCGCTGAACAATGCGGTTCATGCTTTAGTCTGTCCATCTGTTTGGGGCCGATTGGCAGAACTGATCTTGAGTTCAGTACCAACAAGCTCCATCAGATTGCCTCACATCTCACTAGTAAAGCATGAATCCCTGTCGCTGATGATCTCCTTTGGGAACCCAGAATAGCATCTCACCTAGAATAACTTAGCCACTTCCTTTGCTCAAGAATGTCGTCTTGCATAGTTATTAACCTGATAAACTTGGAAAACCGATCAATGATGACGAAGAGCATGTCGTTTCTATCCTTTGACACTGACAGCCCACTTACGAAATCCATGGAGATTGATTCCCTAGACCCTCTTGGTATAGGCGTCGGTTGCAGAAGTCCATACGATCCATGACTCAGCTTTTTGTTCGGTGGCAAACAGCACAACTATTGACGTATTCCGCTGCATCACTCCTCATGAAAGGCCAATAGAAAAACTGTGATAATCTCATAAAGGTTTTCTTGAAACCAACATGCCTTTGAGTGTCGTGGCGTACACAGAGCATGTTCGCCCTCAATTCTTGTGGCACTCAAGGTTTGTGCATGTCCTTGCTTTCCATGAACAACAAACCCCTGTACAATGTATAATCCGGTGTTGAACTCAGATCTGCCTCCAGCCCTGCAATTAGCCGAGAATACATAGGATCAACTGCATAGATTTTTGCAATTTTGTCAATTAGGTTGTCGCTAACTCTCCACTTGAATATGGCTCCCATGAAGTCACACCTCCTTGAGAGTGCATCTATTATGAACCTGGTTGCTTGTTGTCAGAAGACCAACACTCGCTGTCGAGCGCACGGTCCCCGCTGGGGGAACCTTCCTGGCCACTTCACGCAGGATTGGCATAATTTGCAAGTCGCTTCACGAAAAGGGAAGCGGCGGAGAGGCTCCGACCGAGTGCGCCAGCTATGCCTCCATCGAGTCCCTACGACAGGACAGGGTCTCGCGAGGTACAACTTACCTCCGCCCGCGGGAGCTGTTACCATCCCTTGGGTGGGCATATCCACGCCGAGCTACTGAACCACACGGGAAAGTTTTTACTTGCAATCGCGGAGGTGGCCCAGTCGAGGGCGTTTCTCGTATGCTTAGCGTAGGGGGTACGTGTGGTCCACGCCTAGCATGGACCCGTACGCGAACCGTCGCGCTGGGGCGCTGATCTTCCACGTGCGATTCAACATCGATCGACTAGGACATCCTAACTCAACCACGCGACACACAACAAAACAAACTATCTTAGACAAACAAATAAGCCTAGTCCTTTTTTCATACGTCCTTAACCATAACTCAAAAAAGCTAAAGCGGCTGAGCGAGGCCCGCGCGAAGTTGTATAAAAAGAACGCAACCGCTAAGGGAACCACAATGCTCAGTCATGTGTACTTACTTGACCTGCTATCATGGCGATGCCTCATCCGTTACCCACATTCGCGCGACCTCTAATGGGTTTCTGGATTGCGTACGACACTCAACTGTCGAAAGCGAAATATCGTAAAGGGTCCCTCCTTCACGATATTGAACGGCTGAAGGATAAGTCGTTCAGCCCTTGCGGCACCACTGTCTTTTAGGCAGTGGGTGACGATTAGCAAGGGGCGTAGGCCCGACTCATGGGGCAAACCCCTTTGTGCTAGACCAGAGTCTGGGATGTCCTGGACAAGTACCTTGAATTTCAAGCTCAGGACCAACGTCCGACCAATAATCTAAAAAGTAAAACCCCTTTAAGACAGGGTTCACTCGTTCTTCCCTGCGGAAAGAAAATACGAGTAGTTACGGG